ACTCCTTGGGTGACTCGGACTTGTACTCGGACTCAACTACGACTCTCCCTTGGTGGCTCGGACTTGGACTCGGACTCGAAGAGTGGTGACTCGAGAGTGACTTGGACTCGTGAATTGGTGACTTGACTACAACACTGAAATTATCTGATCATTATTTTTCTCTGAGCTCAATCTAGCTAAGTGTTGTAAATAGCAAGTATGAGAAATGTATCTGTCAGCCTTCCATCTGTGCATACACTTATCTCGTGCCCTCATTGGTCATGTGCGCGTTTGTGTGTGTTGGAGGAGGGGCTCTGTAAGGAAGTCTGAAGGAAGGGGCAGATTTTTCCCGGTTGTGTACTTTCAAATTCTAGCGCACTCGAGCTGGTTTCTCCATTCTTACCTACCCTACCTTTAAGGCACAGAGGGCCACAGCGCTTATTAAAAGAGTCTTTATTCTCCAATCAAAGCTCATTCTCTGTCAATACACCATGCGGCATTAATACAACGCAAAAATCTGTGAAACAGAAAGCATCAAGGCAAAACATCCTATTCAACCAGCCTTGTTTCATTACCACTGTGACCTTCACAAAGCAGATTCAAACATTAGAGCACAAATGGACGATGTACTGATTCAGCTGCATTCTAGCTGCAGACCATTGCAGCTAAAGTCCAACAATCATCAAATCATGCAATTATAATGACAGGGAATATTATTAAGATATTTAACTGTATGGAGCATTTTGTCCCCCAAAAAATATTGAGTTATTTGAAAAAGTGAAAAAGAGGAATGGTGAAATGCTTTTCCCCTGTGTCCCATTCTAGCTCATCACCCAAAAATAGACCGCTCTCACACACACACACCTCCAACCACACACACCATATGCTAGAGCAGGGGTGCCCAACCAGCCGATCGCGATCGACCGGTCGATCACGGGGAGATTCCCAGTCGATTGCGAGATGTGTCTAAAAATAGAACAACAATATTCTGTTTTATCGTTAATGTCCTATAACATAATCTTCCTGTGCCAGAATAATGCACTTGAACGCATCAAAGCTTTGTGATTGGCCGGCTAGACCCCATGTGTCGGGGCGTGGCTGGTCGGCAGTGGGCACTATTTCGCTGAGGTTGTCCGTGTCAACAGGAGTGACAGTCCGCACACACACAAGACCGCAATTATGGCAGAAGCAAAAAAGCCCAAAATATATCATTTTCACCCCGAGTGGGAGGATGATTGTTTTTGTATCTATTCCAATTCAAAGTCCATCTGTCTCTCATCTCCAATGCGAGCGTAGCTTTATCGAAGAAGGGTAATTTAGGAGCGGCATTTCAAAACAGTGCACAAACGCTACGAGACGGAATTCCCTCCTAATTCTGCCCTACGCTCCCAAAAGGGGAGGGGCCTGAAAGGACAGCTAAATGCACAGCAGTCCATTTCCACCAGGCCCAACAACAAGAGCAAGGCTGCTACCAGAGCATCTTATCGTGCCGACGCGCTTTTGGGGGACAGTAAAAATAACAGTAGCATTTCAACAGGTTTTTGATATGATAAAAACTCAAGTTAGATACCGTTATTAATCAGCTGTAAGTTTTATTTTGTTTGAACTTATTCATTATAATTATTGTACAAAATGGTATAAGAATGCAAACTTAAATTGATTATAGTCTATTATCAATTCAGGTTAAGAAACTAGTGTTGCTTGCATCCTATTTTAAAGGGATTTCTTTTTATACTCTACTAAAATGCAACAAAAAAAGGGTTTGATTCTATTAATGTTGACTTTTTTATTGCACTTTGGCAACAGATTCCTGTAGCTTGAGATCTGAGTTGTCTTATTAGTAAGCCTAATTTTAATGCCAAAGAAAGGGTTCAGAGTCTTTTCTTTTTTCCTGTGTCACATTACCCACTGTAGTGACGTGTGAATAAACTCCAACTCTGTATCAACAACACTGTTGTGTAACTTCAGTTAAATACTTGTATGTGTGTAGATTAGAAAGAGCAGGTAAGATAAAGGATCTGCAGTATTTTATGGAGTATTAATCGTACAAAAGTCAGTTTTATACAAGTAGAAGTGTGTATTTACCTGGTAGTTTACCTGGTCAGTAATGGCTACGCCTCTCTATTTGGACTGGTAGATCTCGGCAGACTGGCAACTTTAAAAGTAGCTCTCGGTTCAAAAAAGGTTGGGCACCCCTGTGCTAGAGGGTCCTCTGAGGTGGACAGGAAGGATGTTCCTCCATAGAATAGGGCCAGTGTGAAGAGAGTGGAGGCCCCAGGCGTTATTAAAATGAAAAATAACTATCTGCCTGGCACAGTGGCTGGCAGACAGTTCTGTTGCATTACTGTATATGGAAATATACAACTTGATATCCCAGCATTTGGCGGTAAACTCATGTGGGACTTTTGATGAAATTCAAATCTCCTGTAATTATAGATCCCATTTGTGTGTTCTGCATTGACATCTCTCTGAAGCAGTCTCTCAGGGCATCTTTATTAAAATATGGGCTACAAATAGCTGTATTTTCCAATCAATCTGTGAAGATCCCTTCATCAGCAATTGGATGTTTGCTGGTAGTTTTAAATGAAAAAAAAAAAAGCTGTGAAATGTTTTTTATTTTAATTTTATTAAAATAGATTCTAGTCAACAACTTTCTTGCACACCAGGGAGTTTAACAGACAATTTATTCTAATACAAATATTTTGACATTATATTTTGAAATAGATTGGATGCGTCAGTTTGACTCTATTAAATTAAAATAGAGATTTGACATTCCACATTCAATCTGTCATTAATCAATTTACTTGTACCTTCAGAATACTTTTTCGTTAATTAACTTTTCTACTTCTGAAAAGCTTCCCTTTTAATGTAAAATGTACAATGATAAAAGCGAAGGAAGTACAAATTAATGCAGGCCTACTTAGCTCACATAATTGACCAAGTAAGACAGAAGTTATGATGCTATGTTCTGCGTGTGTAAACAGCACATTTCACTTTTAATGTTACAAGACAAAAGGTGTGTATCGGGGTGTGGAGGGTGAACGTAACCTAATCTAATAAAGAGCGGAACAGGTCTTATTACAGCCCAATGCACACCGCTTCAACAACTTAGAGAAATCAAAGTTGACAGGCCTGCTGTGCCGATTACAGTTGCCAAGCTGTGATTAGACAATTGCTGTACTGGGGTTTTAGGGTTTATTGAAAACACGCCTAAAGTAGAATGAGTAAAAATCCAGTGGAATATAGTTCTTCATTTATTCTATTCCCAACACTCAAATATGAGGGAACTAAGAGATCCAAAATGATTGTTCTTGGTGAGTGACACATGAATTATTCATCTACATTTTTAGTTTTTTTGCATATAATCTTAAGGCCTACCACATTAACAGCACTCTTACAATTTACTTCACTCCCACACACTCTGTTCGGCATTGTGGCCATTTTTGCTCATTATTTTAATGGTGGCACTTTCTCTTACTCGTTGTCTCCCTCTCTATCTCTCCCCCTATCTTACTTGCTCACTCAGCCATGTGATGAGAGGATGAGTCGCGACGCACTGTAAATTCCATCTCAGTCAAGCCGGTCACTTCTGGCCGGGGCTCGAGGCGAAACATCTGCCGGTGGGAGCGAGGCCACACTTTGGCTAAAGAGGAGCTCACAGCAGGCGATAACGGAAAGAGGTGGCTATCCATTAGGAATGAGAATAATATCTCTCATGCTGCACCCAAACAGAGACTAAATGAAGTGCTTGGCAGCAGTTGTGAATAGAGCTGTGAAGTGCACCCGTTTTATTTTTAAAACCCTGTCAAGAAGTTGAGTTTCCTTGTATAAAACAACATGCTTATTGAACAAGAGTAGAGGTTACACTATCTTTCCACCCACACTTTGGACAGGTGTAATTTTCCATAAACGGCCAATTTGATTGAGTCAACAATGGGGCCCCGTCCACCCTCAGGATAAAAGAGGTCATGGGCAATATCGAGCTCCAATTTCATTGGCGAGGGTTATTACAGTGCATTACTACGGGGGCCATATAGACCTTGTTAGTGGGCACTTAACCATCTGTACACAAATCTCCACTTGAACACACTGGAATATTTTTCACACAGCCATGCTCATCTCCTTACTGACCTCTACAACAAAGTGTCCTTTCAAGCCCATTCAGGCATACAGGCAGCATTCATAAAACACGTCCCCTCTTTAAACCGTGACCTCATGAGAGAGGTGTGCTGTCACAAAATATTCAGCGCTACGGATAAAATCTGACTACGGAATATCAAACGCTCCCATCTGTCCACTTCTCCCTCTCTGCCCACAAACCCCCCTTCTTTTGTTACTTGACACCGCCATGTTTTAATTCCAAGGAAAGGGCATGTCTTGCAAGGCAAATTATTTGGTCTGACTGGAGACACCAGAAAATGAACAGGTCATCCAGGAGGCCCACTGGCAGATGGGTGGTAAACCTTATCATTGAAATGTGAGCAGAATGCAACAGTGCCACTGTGTATTCATGCGACTGAAACAGAGCTGGAGCGCACTGGAGATGTGTGAATAATTTGAATGAACTACAGCATGCACCGTACTAATGTTTCCAGTAAGAGAATGATGTATGTGAAGTAGCAGTGCTAACGCTATTAGAATAACAAGCATATTTTACCACATTTAGCATGGACTCTCTGCCCATTACATGTATTATGGTGGTGGACTGAGACCTCATCTGCATTCAATTATATGAGCCACCGGAAACAATCAAATCCGGGAAGAAGAACAATGTAGATGGATGATGAACTCAAGCTTGTTTGGTCATTTCTGCTGTATCTCAATATAAAAGGTCCATAAACTGTATAATACCAAGTGTTGGACAGTCTAACAATGGGTCTTAAGAAATTCCATTATGAGCTAATTTTCATTTTAAGACAGACTCATAACATAGATATCTGTGTGCTGTCACAATAGCAGTGACCTTCCAGAATGTGTACTGTACTGTGGGTATACTTTATAAGCACCGGTGCACACCTTACCTGATTTTTCAGATCCAGCTTGGGGCATGGGCGTCCCCCGTTGAAAGCTTTCTCCCTGAGCCACTTGGACCTGATCTTCAGCCCGCTGCCACAGGAAGCACTGCAGGAGGACCAGGCTGACCAATCGCTGAGCTTACAGTCCAGGGGGCAAGGGATGTGGCAAACCTCCACCATGTAGCCTGAAATTGAACATTGGAAGGGGAAGCCTGATTCAGACTTGCTTAGCGGCTGCAGTGAGGATCAAATTAATAATGTCAGACAGACATGCCACTGGCTTGCACCCCGCCAGACCTTGGACTTGCTCTCTCTGACGCCAGGAGATAATTACCTGACTAATGATTGTTTCACGCATACAGTGTGCCAACACAGCATAGTGAGACTGCTTAAGGGTTAGCACACTCTATAAATAAAGTGTTTTGTTTGTCTCCTGTAGGGCAGCAACTAACAATTGTTTTTATCATCAATTTATCTGCCTATTATGTCTCTAATGGTTTACTCCATATTTGAAGGTGATGTCTGTAAATGCCTTGTTTTTCATTGTAATATAAATATATGCAGTTCAATATGATAATAAATCAGAAATGTCAATATTTAAGGGACTGAAAGGAGCATTTCCTGCCAATATTACATCGAAGATTACCTTAACAATTACATTACATTGCCAATATTTTTTCTCAAATGATCCATCGATTATTAAAGTAAACAAGCAGCTGTAGTTTCTAGACAACTTAGAAAAAAGAGGACAAAGGTGCTAAAACTAAACAAAACAGCCTAAACATTTCAATTAAAACCTATCCACAAGTTTGCATTTCAATGTCATATAATTAAAATGGTATTATCTCATAATCTGGCTTTAACAATATCACCATTTCTGATTATTCTGACCATTTATTTTAAATTAAAAAAATAGGGCTGTGACTCACAGCTGACTTGTTAGATCAAAATTAAATAACCAGAGCCACCCAACAAGAAATCCTTATCCAGAACACAATGTGAGCCCCAATTATAGTTCAAAAACAGTAAAATACCAAGTAACTGCAGCATACTCCTGTGCTTCCTACCTGAGTCTGTGCAGAGTGAGGGGTTAACCAGGTGTCCCTGCTGGTTGATGCAGGCCACAGCCCTGTAGCGCAGCCCGTGGCCGCACTCCTTCACCTCTCTCTGGCTCATCCAGCCCTGCAGGGAGCCCGGGGCCGAGGGGTCAGGGAGGATGCATGCGGACCAGTTACCAAAAGGCTGTGACAAAAACTCATCACAGGGACACGTCTCGCTGTGCTCGAGCGGGTACAAGTCCTTATCCAGACAATGTTCCTTCTTTTTACTACGACCTAAAGGAGAAGATGGACAAAACAATACAGAGTTACTGAGCACTGGCTGGGTGACGAATGTATATGAATAGTGCTACAGAATGCATTAATACATTTATTTAAATATCAGTTTATAGAGAGCCAACTGGAATGGCAAAAGGGGATCTCTGATCAACATGTTAATACAAATGTTAAGCACAAACACTTATTTTGTTTATTTATTTATGATCATATATAATGCATCCCGTATCATATAGCAGTTCAGCAAACTAGAGTACGATCAAACCATAAACTGAGTGTTCATTGTTAAAACCACTCTGGAGTCGGCCGGAAAACATTTTAAAATAATAAAATAATACTTAATTCCGAGTGCTCTTGCTTTTCTCTTTGAAAGCCATCACATAACGGCATTGTAATACACGGTTCGGCTGCATTGTATATTACAGATCTGCCGTAGTTCTTTATTTATAGAGCCCTGATGAGAAGACCTTTGGAAAAACTGAAAAAATGCCGCCAAAACTGAATACTTGACGTGGATCATAAATATATCAACAATTAAACAACATCTTCAATTTCTCTTCACACAATACGTCTCCTTGCAGTATCAACACTAATTCGGTTGGTCAAGCAACACACCAATCAGAGAGCAGCAGTGAGCACAGCTCGGGCTGTGTTTTATATTTGTATTCTTTATTTCTGACGTATTTCACACAAAAAACCTTTAGTGGAAACGTTTTCACTTATATGATTTTTTTTTTTAAACGGCAAAGTGGCAAGGCTTGCCCACCCTGCGTTGAGGGGGCACAGTGACTCATTTGGGGGGGCATGGCCCGCGAATGACCCCCCATGACGCCGACCCTGAGTAATAGTGTACTGGCAATGTGTGGGGAATACCGCGAAAATGAACAATAGGTTTATTGATATATATTTTTTATCGATAGTCATGAACTTTTTATTGGGACAAAATAGACCCTCCATTAGCAAACGTTTACTCTGTGTTAACGTTATTTTGGTGTGTAAAAGTGAGATTACATGTTTAGATGATTAAATTAATCAATTATTCGTCCCACAACGGAGACATTTACAGTGACATGTTTTTGCCATCGATTATTTTATCATACTGTTCTGTACAGATGAGACTTTGTCATAGATTTATTTATATGTGTGCCTGTTATTGTATACTGAATGTAAAGTAACTGGAAATACCTGTGTGTGTGTGTGTGTGTGTGTGTGTGTGTGTGTGTGTGTGTGTGTGTGTGTGTGAGAGAGAGAGAGAGAGAGAGAGAGAGAGAGAGAGAGAGAGAGAGAGAGAGAGAGAGAGAGAGAGAGGAGAGAGAGAGAGAGAGAGAGAGAGAGAGAGACTCCTTCTCCAACCTCCCAAACTTTCTTTTTATGTGTACATTGTTATTTGTGCTTGAGCAACATTTTACTTGAACTTTCAATGAAATTAGTTGTAATTATTGTCCTACATTTTAATTTGTTTTACAGAGAGGTTTCACAGCTGTCTGGGCCTAGTGGCCTACAGGTGGCGGCGTTTATCCAGCAGCCAGAACATCCATCTGTGCCGGCCCCCAGGTCAAGATCTACTGTGGCTCAAGGGCCTTCACCAGAGCCATCACCACCTGGACCAGCAGACCAGCATCACTACAGCTGCCTCCACCTCCATCTGCGGCTGCCACCAGGTCAAGATACACCTCAGCACAAAGGCTCCACCACAGCCATCACCTTCAACCCAGTCAGCAAGGAGGTCTCGTATAGCACTTGTTCCCCCCACCTACACAGCAGCCCATGCACCATCACCCCCATCTTCACAGCAGCCAGACCCACTGTCTTGGAAGACAGACAAAGACCTTGACACTGTCTTGACATTTATAATGAATAGTTGGTTGAAAGTTCTGATGTTCAATATTGTAAATAGTTAGATTTTCCAGTTTCTTATATTTATATAAATAGTTGGTTGAAAAAAACATTTATAATAAATTGTTGGTTGAAAAAAAAGGTTGAATGCTCAATTTGTATTTGTACACATCACATGAACCTTGTTATGTAATATGAAGTCATTATTCAGTCCTGATGTATCTCAGTCCCTGCTGTGGTGAAAGTAGAGTGATAAACACCTTTACTCAAAATTCAAATTAATTTGTTTTCATTTGAGACATGAATAACACATTTATATACAGTTTAATTCAAATATTTCACTGCTTTTGTGATCCTAAGACTTTATAACCTAATCTAAAACACCAAAACAATTCGATCACATGAGTACATTTGTGTTTTCACAAGAGTTTTGAAGATGTTCCGAAAATCGGATGTCAAATGTTAAGCTTTTGAGCTTTTTGATATGTAACACATGGGGTGCCATGTTAGAAGAAATACATTTAAAAGGTGATTTAAGAAAACATCTAAAAATCGAGAAAATACCCTTAGACTCCAGAGGGTTAAATTGTATTATTGCCATTGTCATTGACACTGGCCACATGGGGCTGATTCTGTGGCAAATGCACTGCAGCTGACCACGCCCCCCTGCAAAGGAGGGGGGCGAGGCATGAGCGTCATGTTACCATGCTGTTACCATGCCACGTAACCTCTCATTCCCCTGATAGGTGGAGAGTTGCCCATATAGGCGGAGCTCCCCGTTTCTGACTTCAGAACAATTTCAAATCTGTATCAGATCCATTGCAGCCCCGTTTTTAGAGATTTGGGTAAGGAGGAAAAGAGAGAGGGTTGTGTTTTCTGACACACCGGGGGACACATCTTCATGTATAAATGACGTACTAAAGTGCATTTTGCATGATAGGTCCCCTTTAATATCTCAAAAAGAAAATGTAACATTACAAAGTAACACAGCAACACTCACTCATTGAATGGAGAAACATACTTGATTGTTTACATCATTGTTTTTAACAGTGACTGAGGCACAAATGGCAATATAGATATGAATAAAAAGCAATACAATACAACTATAAATGTAAACATACATGTAGATAATGTGAAGAATACTATTTGGATTCAATTGTGTATACCACTTGGCAGTGGAAACACTATCAAAATGTCATAGACTTTGAATTGATTTACATTTCAGAAAGTAAGTTTCAAACACTAGCGACGTGTGGTTTTATCCCAATCTTAAATCCCATACTTTGTTGTGATGCATTTAAATCACTACATTTAATCTAAGAAAAATCCATTACATCATCAATGGGAATGTTACCTTTTTATTTCTAAGAACAGGCAGTTGGATATAAATGTGTTCACCACTGTTTCCATCGCAGGAGTTAATTAAAAGCTCTTTCTACGTTTCTGATTACATAACACAAATGGTTTCCAAGTTTTGACGATTGGATTAATGTACTCTTCCTTGGAGTTTGACTTTAATCATAACAAATGCCAATCAGTCAAACAAGCTGGACGCCCGGTGGCAGGAAGCCCTTTCCCCTGTAGTGCATATTCAGAAGCACTTTAATTGACCTCAGGGAATGATTAGTGCTATTTGAAAGCATATTCAACTTTATTTTTTGTTGCGAAGCCAGGGAATGTTTCACACTTAATGTCTGTTAAACTCCACTTCATCTAAACTCTCTGGATGTTAGACCAGAGTAATTGCCATATCGAAACAGCACATTCACAGTAAGTAGAATGCAAATACAAACAACATTATCGTTCAACTTGAACACCTTTATTATGTCATTTGTATGCAAATGTGGTATATTTAGGCATCAAACTTACAGTAAGGACATAGTGTGCGACTATAAAGACCTGAAAGACTAAATGATACTTCAGTTGAGAGAAAATACAGAAAGACAATTTATTTCTATTTGAAAAGCTCTTGCCTTTTTTCCTCCTAATGCACGTCTCTATATTTTTCATCCATGACTTCTCACCAGCACAGAGTGGTTGCTGTTTATTATTAATGATTAACGGAACAAAATTGATGTTAAATCTAAAAACAAAATGTGTTTATTATATGAGTGTTGTTAGACTTTTGGAGAACCGAACCTAAGGGAGCGTTGGTGGTGTGTTACAGTTGTGCTTAATATATTTTACAGGCTACCCCTTAGGTCACATGTGGCCTAAAACCCCATTGGTGATGTTTATATCACTCAGCAATTGGATAGTTTTCATACAATGCTTATGGCAATTCCCTAAAAACCTGTTATTTCTGTTCCCAGCCTTACAACTCATGAAACATAAGATGTCTTCAGGATGTCATGAAATATTCTAAGGCTTGTTCTGATGGACCATTTGGTGCCATTTCAACAACCAACAATCAATTCATATTAGAACATTTCCTTTAAAATGTAATATACACCTCATGACTCCAGCACAAAATCTTTTGTCTTAGGGGGAGGATTATCTTTTCATTTCAAGCTATCTCGGTTAACATCTCCATTATGACTATTAGAGCTAACCTCTCAATAAATTCCACATCAGGCTTCAAATAATTAGTCCTGTTCATTATGTTCATGATGAGTAATAATAGATTGAGTGTGAGCAGCAAGGTAACATCACAGCTGAAAGGCATGTGATGCTCTCGAAACACTGTCATTTTTAATATCCGGGGAAGAAACAGACGCAAACAGTCAAGCTGTCCAAATGCTTCACATCATTGAATAGAGTTATATAACAGAGCAATGGGGTTTTGTTTTTAACAGCTATCAATATTCCGCAGTCATTAACATTATAGTGTTGCTGCAGTACATTGTTTTCTAAAACATGTTTAGAGAGTCAATGCTGTCAACGGCTCTTGGTGTAAATGTCAACACTAACCAAATCACGCATTTGATGAGAGCGCCGCACCACATGAAGGATCTGCATTCAGTTATGTAGTAGAGAGAGACAATACAAGCAAAGGAAACTGTCTGGATTGGATTAAAGGTTAAAGCTTCTGACATATCTTTATATATTATGATGCAAAATGCTATTAAAATAAGTTTCCCCAACTCATTGACTACATTTAAAATTGGATTTATAGACAGACACGGCCCATTTTTAAGGGTCTAAGAAACATGAATGCAAACATT